ATTAATAAACCCGACTCGATTTAAAACTCGGGTCGGGTTAAATAACCCGGGTTGATTCGATCGTTCGGAGCACTAATTACTAACTATCTATCTTACAGAATGTAAGAATCCGCGCGTACTACGTACAAAGAATTTTCTAAAGAATTCTGACAAAAAGGGGCATGGTTAAGTTTCGTAACAAAACAAAATAAAAATTAATTGTAAACACAAAATGCGAATTTGGTAAGAATTTTGTAATAATGTCTATGGATCAAAGAAATAATGTACGATATAGTCACATTTTGGAACACAAATAAAGAATGTTGAATTCGTGTTATTGGAAGAAGACAATGTTGGCGGTGATGCCACAAAGAATTTTTACGAATGACATCAATATTACAAGTTAGATTTAGGTGAAACGCAATTGCTTTCCTATTGATATCAATTATTAGATCCTACAAGCGTTGCATGTAGTTTGTGGGTCTACTTCAACATCTCTACACAACATCCCGAAATCTACCCTCCCGACATACCCAACTGTCCGCCATACCCAATTTCCAGACATAAACCAGAAATTAAACTAGTTTAGAATTTCGGAATGGACTGTCGGGATGTTGAATTGTCGAGAAGTTGAAGGCGGCAACCCGTAGCTTGTATGTACGGAGTTATCCCTATGGCTTCTTCTCTGGATACAATGGGGATTTTGGTTATTTCTGTGGCTACTGCCGAAAGGTTCTCGATAATTGCTCAACCCAACTCTTTAACTATTGCTACAGAGCAGAATAATATCAAACAATGTCTTTTTCTTAAACTAAAGAAAAATAGTCATTTTAAAAGGAATAGACATCTTTCCCGCCAGTTATTTCTGTAGACGCACAAAAGCTTCATTGCTGTTAGTAAAAGAAACAAGAGACCGTTATATTACTCGATATGATATCATTCATGCCACAAATAATGCGGATATGACTATGCCAAACACTAATATGATGACGAATAACGTGATGAATTGATGTCAAACACAATCCTAACAGTCAAACCCGATATCACGATTGCATTGAGATGTCATATTTCGTGTATTTTCGATACATTCTTTCGGGATTTCATTCGTACGGAATTTCGTATGTTCGGGAGGACGTTCATTCGAGATTTAGTGCATTCAGGATTTTGTTTGTCGGGCTCATGAATTGTCAGGATTTCGTACCGGATAACGGCAAATATAGCTTTTCCTGTTACTACAAATTATGCTTGGAATTCACAAGATTACAACTACGACTATTCCAAATTGAAAAGAATATCCGACTTCACATGATTATTTGTTATTTCCATAACAACTTTCCTAAGGCTATTTTTTATAATATTGACCAATACAGTTTAGAGAAATATAACAACAATATATTAAAAAATTACAAGCAAATACCTTTATATTTGTTTATTTAATCTTAATACATTTAGAACTCTTAAAAGAGCTAAGCTCAATTTTATCGTAGGCTCTAGGGTATTTCTGAGTATTGAAAATAATTTCTTCTATGATTTTTATTAAAGAAGACTGGTCATAATATAAATGAATAAAAATTGTTTAATCTTAAATATTATTAATTTGGTTACATATATGGAGTATACTATTTGTAATTTCCTGCTATTTTAGATATACATGTTTTTATAGTTCAGGAGATAGGGGGGATCCTTTAACACGATATACATGTAGTTGTACATGTATCAATCAATACTAATGACATGCAATTATCGAAAATCCCAATAATTTACATGTATATAACAATTGTAATTATAAAACAGGTTGAGAGGAGGGGATATTTTACAATGTAATTAGATATAAAATATCGGACCAAAAATTTTGAATTTATAGGCTTTTTATGTATACTAATGATAATCCAAGTAAGGAAATTGAATAATGAAATTTGATGCTGATAAAAATTTTGTATTCTTATTATTTCCTGTAAAGAAGCGAACCCATTCATTTTAAGTAATGACGTTGAGTTTTTGGAAATTTCTAAGTTCATTCCAAAAGTTTTAATTCAATTATCTCTTAGATTATCATTATTACATACATTTCATTTTTTTATATTCTTGTTATTACCTGTAAAAAAATGGGTCAAATTTTTTATCCTTAAGGCAACAAAGAATTTTTAAAATCCGGATAATTTTTGGTCACCCGTAAAATTGATATGTATGCTTTATATTATTTTTTTAATATGCTGATTTCTTGTGTGTGGAGTATTTAATTAGCAGAATAATGATGATTTTATTAACTGGCTGAAAACTGAAGCACGGTTGCTGAAATCTTTCATTTATACTTTTAATATTTTCAGATATAATATCTTAACGTAAATTTTATATTTCAAATTTTGACCTGAATTAAGCTTAATGCGGGCTGTGATTTGAAATAATGCGCATGGACGTTATTTCTCGAAATGTGATACTAAAATTCTTTAATAGTTATAAAGATAACGGATGACTCCAGTCTTACTGTTTGTTAAATTCATCATTAAAACTTGTTACTAGATGTGTTTCAAAATGCTCTTTTATAAAATGAATTCCATTTTCATGCTTGGGTTTCATATATTGTTGTAACTCCATCATTCATGTCCTCTTTGTGCTCACACCATGAACGTGGGATTTGGTCTCCGTAAAGTCATCGGGAATGCGATTATAGTAAGGTACGATTTTAGTCTATTTTAGCAAGCTTACAAAAATTTTTCTTTTACGTTAAAACTTTAATTAAACTAAAAATTAGCGTGTCATGTACATCGATGAAAAAGGAAGTCTCGTAAGTAAAGTTATTTATAGCGGTCGAACAAAATGTAAACCCGTGATACTATGTGTTGCATTCGTGTTCTTTTACCTCAGAAATGAAATAAGGGTACATGTAAATTGTTAACCAAAATGCTATTCAAGTCTTCTATCAATGTTTTCCATCAAAGAATGTTGATTATCAATTACATGACATTGAAATACTGTACCATTGAACTTATCATTTCCTGCATATGATTACTTTTTTCGATTACAAGTTTATTTAGTGAATTAGATGCTAATGATTCCGCGAAATTATGCCTTCTATTAGATAATATCTGATTCACTTTGATTCGGATTATTCAATCGAATCAATATCCGGTTTTAATTTTTTCTTTGTTCAGTTTAATGTTCATTAATCTTAATGTTATTTTCAAAGAGACAGTGAATTTGGATATAACTTTAATCGGTTACAGTCAACTCTCTTTAAATGCACAGCCTAGTTCAGTCCCAAGCTTATAAGACTCTTATAAAATTTACTCTCTCTAAATGTACATTCTCTTTAAAAGCACACTTGACAAATTAGTTCTATGGTCCCGAGGGGTGTCCATTTAGGGAGAGTTGATTGTATATGCTATCATCCTATGACGTAATTCGTAGCACGTTATTAGATAATAATACTTGCCAGTTTATTGTCAGAACAAAAATCCTGAACTGAATTTGCATTCTATTAGTATTCAGCATTATGTCAGTTACGTTATTTTCATTACATTCTGCTAAGTTAATTATTTTTGTCAAAAAATCCTGATTTGAATAATGACTATCATCAAGATAATGCACGATAATAGTGCGCATGAATACATGCTACGTTTTTTTGTCGTAGCATTAGATAACAAAGAACAGAATTAAAAATCCTGTTCTCATCGGGAGATCAGATATTTATTTAGAATATTTCAGCATCGTAAAAGACCATTCTGAATAACGTGTATGTACTTGCCTAGTCACGCAGTCACGTTGACTTAGCATTTTTTATAAATAGAGTGGTCCTTCATGTTCAGAAATTTCATCAACATCTTTGTCAAGATAATAACCTCAGTATGCCTACCAATACTATTCAATTTATTCAAATTTTTCAAATGTTAACATTAACGTTGACAGAATTAATTCGTCCACCTTTCCCATCAAATATTTCTGCTCATGAAATTATTTCCAATACTACACGTAAATGCAATACCCCAAAAAGAACTCCCAATGCGTTCCTTATTTACAGAAATTCTTGTATCAAAAAAATGAAAGTTGGTGGACTTTCTATTCCTATGCCAAAAATCTCGATTATTACAGGATTATTATGGAAGAATGAGCCATTATTTGTGCAAAATGAATATAAACAATTAGCTCGAGAAGCAAAAATTCTTCACAATAATAAATATAGCATAATTCAAAGAAACACCGCAAATACTATGAATGTATCTAATACGACGAGAGATACTACGACACATACTATGACAAATATAACTCTGTCTAATACGAATAATATGGATTTTCCAGATATTATGATGGATATGGAATTGCTTGATACATGTGCTACGAATTATGAGTGGAGTACTCAAGATCATTCAATGTCTTCTGAATACAACTGCGATCACGTAGAAGATAAGCAAGCCGAAAATATACCTGAGCTCGATTTTTATTATTAGTTTAATTATATATTAATTCTCTTAAAATCAAATCAATCAAATTCACTCATCTCCATATGCAAGCAATAATCGCAAATAATATTTTATTACAAAAAATAAATTAGTATACTGATTTTCAATATATATCCATATATTTCCCTAAAAATTTAAAACAGTGCAATAAAGTTGCTACATTTATCTCAAATGTGATATTAAAAAGTAACAGTCAAATAAAACATGTACAGTAATTGGAACTAATGTACATGTAATATAGAAAAAGTTTAGATCATGATATCCTGACATGTACATGTATTCAAGAGAATTTTCTTTTCTCAGAATGATAGTTTAAAAATAGCAGCACAGCACATTAATAAAAAGATTTAATATTATATAAGCATTCATGTTATATTACAAGAATGAAATCGGACATCAATTCATTTTGAAATTTTACATGTAATTATTATTAAGAGTTGTCTATTAATGATATTGCATATATAGTTACGACTTTTGATAAATCACACCACTGGTGTTCAACACCAGTGTTTTTGTCCAATCAAATCATGATATGATCACGTTTTTTGAGATCGCCGATCTCAAAATGTTTTCGTTACACAAAACGAAAAACGGAGAAATCGTTAATATTAATAGGTGTCTAAATAAAAATGTTCAGTACATATATAAGATTGCACACCACAAAGGGTTTATTAGTTAGCCATCTACTTTAACGATTTTAAATATTGTTTAATTATAATGTGGTGTTGAACACCACTGGTGCGATATATAATTTTTGTATAGTTATATGAATTTTGTTATGTACAGTACATGTAGTAGACTTGATTATTTTTGTATGATCATCAGAATAAATCATTGGAAATCTCAAGAAATGTACATCGACATGTTCATGTACATGTACTGTACATTTTGCTGATCATTATACATGTGGTGCATATTTGATGACTTAAAGAAGTATGACACTTGCATATGCATCAAGAAAAATCAGAAGGATCGAATTTTACTTATGATTTTCTGTAATATCACTATGAAAACATTGTGTACTTGTGATATTGACAAATCACTACTGAACAGTTTAATGAACAAATGTGCTTAATGTAATTAATGCTTCGTTCGGTTCGGATCAATCCAACCGAATCCAAAACTTCGTTCCCGGTTCGGATTTCTATTTTTCAATCCGAAAAAAATTGGTTCGGTTCCGAGTTTGCATCACCCCGCCGATCCAATGATAGATTGTCGGTGTGTCTTGGATCGACATAAATAATGGGATATCGATAACATGCATAAATGAACTTAATAATTTTAAACGTTTTAATGTTTAGTGTTCTTTTGAATTTGCCAAGAAAAAACGTTGCCTTTTAATTTGGGACAGATATTACACATTAAAAGATGTACTTATCACGACACGTTTTTAACTAAAAAAAATTACATAAAATGATATGCTGTTATTATCACAACAGAAACTAACGCTAAATTCCAATTAAAATTTATCGTTTCACCACCATTAGTATGATCAGAACTACAACCACTAGTCGTAGTACAACTACTAGTCGTAGTACTAGTAGTTGTACTAGTATTAATTGATGAACATTGAGTCAAATTTCCCTTAATAGGTTCAATATAATCATCCAATTTCTTTTTAACGGCAGGAATTGATGGTTGAGTCATATTGAAGAAGTTAACCCAAGGTTGTGCCAATTTTGAGTAACAGTCACTGCAAATAATATTAATTTGTAATGGTTCTGTTTTTTTGGGATCTCCATATGATGCTAACCCATTGGGTGGAGATATTGTTGCATTAATGTTGGTGGATTGGCCAGGCTTTAATAAACTTAATATAAAGTTTACGATTTTTGAGCTAATATTAATGGCACAGTAAGCTGTATATATAAAATACAAAAAGTTTTATTATTATCGTTTTTATGGTATAGGTAAAAGCGTATGTAGATACTTGCATCCATCAGAAGATTGACTGCACAGAGCCTGCATATTAGGGATTGCCGTGTAGACTGAAAACCAAAGGTTTGGTGCAGGATACTTGGGATCGTTTACAGAATCGCTTGTTGCCCAATCAGTCAATTCTTGTTGACAGTCTCTTTGAATGTTTTCGTTTAGAGTTTTTATCGCGTTTTGATCGCAAGTTAAATCGCATTTTTGCTTCAAGGAAGTAGAATCAGATGCATTTGAACCGGTAAGAGTAACATTTTGTAATGCAAAACAATTGGAAAGGTGTTCATCTAAAGCGCCGTATGCTGTTTTTTGACATGTACTGCATTTACTGACTTTGAAAAAATCCGCGCATTCAGCATTGCTTGTGTTATTGCTTAATGTGCTATTGCTATTTGAGCTCTGACTAGCTACAAGAGTCACGTAAAGACAATAAACTAATGAAAATAATAATTTTTGATTCATTGAAGTCATTGAAAATTAGATAGTTTTTCTTATTTACTTGCGCGATTAGAACACGTGCATGTAGCGTTACGCACGGTACAATCCAGTAGATGCAAGCACAGCCACTTGCACTCCATAAACAAAGGTCCAAATTGTAAAAATTTTTGTTTTCTAATTTGGGACTTGGAACGTGTAGTCAACATAAACCTGTTTTTAAGAATAGATAGTGGTAAAAGAGTAAGGGTGGTGTCGATTGTAAAGGAGCTGAATAGGATCACATAACTGTTGTCATAATTACAATAGAAAGCCGCCTTCATTTAGTATTCTTATATGGCGTTTGAGCAATAATTGCGGTAGTAAGTTCAAGAAATTTTTATCAGTCGTTAGATATTTATAATAATCCCATATCACTCACTACGCATGGACTCTCGGGGAACTAGCAGAAACTATGAAAATTATTGTCAGAGCATCGAATAAAATGTAGCAGATTATATTGAGAATGAGAAAAAATATGGTCCTTGACTCAATCTAATAATGTTTATCCAAGTTCTTTCTTTTCCCAGCGGCAAGCGAAAAAGTTTCTATCAAATTGCGAGCCTATAACGTTATTTAAAATTTAATTTAATAACGATAAATTTTGGATTTTCTAATTTTCTAAATTTGGAATTTGGGTGTTTGATTACCGATACAATGTTATTACCGTTGTGATATTTTGATTATACACAATAATATCGGTCAAACGGTGATAGCTGAAATATTTCATACTCATCCACAGAGAACTCTGTAGTTCTTGTAATTGGCCGATAATCGTTCGGTTGGCATATGCAGCTCTTGGCTTCATCGAAGGTTCCTCTCATCCACAAATCACCGTTTCCGAACCTTGGTCCATCATCGATAAATTTAGTATCGAATGCAAGAGCATAATTTATTTCATCATCGTCAACAAATTGCGTCTCGTTATCAGGAACATAAGGGAGCCCTCGTTTAGGTTTCTCTTCGTCATTGCCGAACGAGAACAAGAAGGAATGTGGAAAATCTTTCGTGCTATTATGTGCAAACCCACTGGGAGCATATCCGCCAATAATTTCACTTGTTTCACTTATTCGTAACACAAGAATGCAGTTCTTTTTGTTAAGACATTTTTTCGTGAATGTCTTGCTTTCGAACCCGTCCCGTGATCCTCTTATCAATAATCTTACATAGTATGGGATTTCATTCAATTCATAAACTTGAACCGATCCAAGCTCTCCGTCATCTATCCAACTTAAGACCTGCGCTATTTCCTCGGGTGCTAAGATCGCTGAACTATCCATAAATCGAGGTGATGCGAAAAGAACATTGGGTGAATAATACATTAAATCAAGAATTGTTTGACGTATCTTATAGGGAAAGATATTTTTGTATGGTAAGACTCTGTCTGTTATATCTTGTCGCGAGATTTCGCGGAATTTTACTAGTGGAAGGAACTTTTCGATTATATCTGCAAATTCATTCATTTGATTTTTTGACCATTTTTTGATGTTGTCTGGTAGATCTTCCATTTGACCACGAACCCATCGAACCAATCCATCCCAGATCTCTATTTCTGTAACGGATAGTGTTTCCCTTTTAAGAAGATTTCTCAAAAATTTTTCATCGACAAGAGATAACGAATTCGATTGAAGGAAATCACCGGTGTCTATACAAAACACCCGAAAACACCGTGTGCGCAAAGACTTCCACAAGGGATATTGCATAACGCTTTGAATTGCAACATCAACATTTTCCTTTATCCAATCATCCTCGATTTCATCACCAACAAAATCTATCAAATCTTGCATCAAAAGTTCATCGGCCGCTTTTAAAACAGCAAACATATCACCCGGACGCATGATATTTTGCGCTGTTGGTGCACATCCGGTATATATATAACTAAATTATTCGTATTAATCTATTAATAATATTAGCCTAGCAACATAAGACAAATTTCCAAGAATATTACCGTAATATAATTTCGAATATTCGAGGTGCAATATTTGGCATTGACAAATGAATTATCCCACCATCTTTTTTCACCCAGTTTTGCGAGAAAGCGCCGGCGAAATACGGCGATCGGGCCGAGAGAATAAGAGAATGTGCTTTGAATATTTTTTCCTGCCCTCCAGATTCCGCTCCAACTTTAATAGCGACGTCACTATTAATTTGGTCATCAAGAAGTTTTCCAAAATCTAGGCAGCAGATACGCCATAAATCGGGTTGTTTTGGCATTTTTATCGTTCTTTTTTGTCGGCCTGTCCTGTGAATGATCAACAAACAAAAGGAGTTATTAAAAATCAAACCTAAAAGCAATCTTTTTTTTCTAATACATGCATCGATACGTATTTCCGTTACTTTGTGAAATGGTAAACAATATATTTGTCTTACACTCTGTCTAAATTAATATCAATAAAGAGTGACTATGATGTGATGTGTTACAATTGATTTTAGTCCGATTTTAGTTACACTCCTATCAAAAAAAAAATAGTGATAGAAATTTTCAAAAAATCCATTAAAGCTTGTTTTTATGAAATTTCATGAGATTTCTGAATAAACAATAAATTTTTTCGAGTTTAAATTGATTGAAACGACATTCGAAGTATTTTCAATTTCATGTCGTTCGTACGAGCTGGAACAACATAGTATTTTCTGTGGGAAAATCCTTAGAGTTGCTGATCAGCAAACCAAATACATGTATTTTGAGGTTTTCGAAAACTTATTCAAGACTTGTTGCATCATCATTGATTCGTAGAATAGAATTTGGTTTACTGAGAGAGCAGCAGATATTTGCGTAAATGTCAAAATTATTTGACAGTGAAATCTAGATAAATTCAACATTTCATACAAAGGAGATTAACCAGTGGCAGGCAAGTTCGCTATTTTTTACAAAAAGACAAACCAATCAGAACAATTATGCATAAACGTCTCCAATAAAACGATTTATTATCGAACTAATGTTATTATATTTTCGTTATATAAACATGTTGAGCAAGCGGATTCATATTGTATTAGATCCAACCGGTAACGGTCGAAATCCCGAAGAAGAACGTTCATAGCCCGAATAATCGAAATCCCGAATGATCGAAATCCAGAATGAATGAGATCCCGAATGATTGAATCCCAAATAGTTGAAATCTCGAACGAACGAAATCCCGACAGGTCGAAATCCCAAAAGTATATATTGTGCATGGATCACAAATAATAAATTATCGATTTCGGGATGTCGTTTATGAACGTTCGGGATTTCGTACTAGACCCGGATTCAACTTGTACTCGAACAGAAGAATTTTTGGGTTTTTGGTGAATTCTTCCATTGGTCAATATTGAAGTTTAAAAAATTATAAACTAAAGATTAGACTTCGTGCATAAAATTTCCATCATGTGAAGAATCCAAATATTTTTATAACTGGCTAAAATAATTGATGATATACAAATTTAAAAAATCCTTATTCTTTTTTTTATTGCTCTGCTTTGCAAGTTACTGAAATATGTTATTTACCTTCCAAATTATTATAAGTGTATAGAAGAAAGATGTGAATGTTTAATAAATATAACATAATTTTGTATCTGAATAGTTGGATAAATAATAGAGTAACAATTTTACTCTTTTAATACTGGAATCTGTACAATAAATAATCATGAATATACTTTTCACACTAAAAATATTTATTAAATTCATAATAAATATATTAATAATTTTATAGTATTTTCAGATATTTTTAAGTTCTTGTTAATATAATGATTATTACTTTTAACTTTTTAAAGTATTCTTGCTTCCATTTTTTATATATTAATAATTTATGCAATAATGTTATATTTTACAGATATATTAACTATAAACAAATTAAAACTAATTGTTTATTATTTTTTACTGAAAAATAAATTTCATTCTGATAATAAAAATGATTAATATTATTTAATATTATATATATATATAATAATTAATATATTAATATTATTATATATGGGCTGTGCAAGAAGATTGATATATCAATATAAAAATTAATAATTGCTTATAATAAAAATCATTCAAATTTTAACTAATCTTTATAATTTTTTTATATTGAATAAAAAATAATCTTAATTTAATATTTATATAAAAAAATAAATATTTTTTAAAATTTCTTTATAAAAATAATATTTATTTTTATTAAAATAAAATAGTATATATAATTATTTTATTTATAATTTTATACTAATTTAAATCTTTTTTATTAATATTATTAATTAATTTATAAGAATTCTAAAATTTTTTATATTTAATAAATTTTTTATATTTAAAATAATTTTTTAAATCAAATTATAAAAAAAATTAAATGAAATAAA